TTCTTTTTCTTTCTTTGTCTATCTCTGTCTCTCCTCGTCCTTTCTCTTGTTTTTTTTTTTTTTTTTTCTATTTGTCATTTTTTTAATTCATGAATTAAACTCGGACTTCTTAGCCAGTTACTCTTATTTCTGCGGGCGTGGCCTGCACCGTCCGCACTGCGGGCGTTTAGCTAGTATATATAGGGGTTGGGGTGCCCTGGTAGGCATTGCTCATCACTCCTGAACATACACACACACACACCACATACACACATGCGCACACACACACACACACACCACAAATACCCTACACACACTCCACACACCATACACAGATGAGGACGTGCTCGACAACCCCCTAATTTGGGCTCAGCCGAACATGTTCGGTTTCCGCTCGACCGAGCGTCCGAACATGTTCGGCTGCTCGGTTTGGGCCACTTTGGTAGCCTAGTCTACAATTGTATTTATATATATATATATATATATATAAAAGTTACTAATGGTCCGGAGACCAGACGTCTCCCCCGAACGTCAACTACCCCCGTAGTCCAGATTTCCGGACAACAGTTTTTTTGCACTGAAAAAAAAAAAAAAAAATCACAGTGTTGCGCATGCCCTAGAGACCCCCCACAAAAATTTTCAGATTTTCCTGAGCATTTCGTGATAGAGTGGTATTTGGTGGGGGAGGGGGGGGGTACGATGGGTTTTGATGATAGAGCTCTTCGAAGATTTTTATTATTTATTTTACCGGCTTTAATGATCCAAAAATTTGGTGGCATACACCTAATGCAAGGTGGACGCCACATGATTTTTTTCAATTTTTTTATTTTGTTTTGTTTTGTTTTTCGCTAAGTCGGATATACCCTGTTCGATCCGACGTCCGATCCAACAACCTATGACTATATATATATATATATATATATACAGGGTCACCAGCCCGTACGTACGGGTGTTCGGGGTCCCGTACGGGGTCCAAACCCGACGGCGTTCGGACCCCGACAAAAAATATTTCGGGGCCTAAAAATATTTATTTTTTTCTGAATTTGGTTTTGTGAGTTCTCTATGACATGAGGTACATGCCTGTCCATTTTCAAGTCATTTGGTTAAGACAAGTAAGAATTAAAAATCGCCAAAGATGGCGGTGTCAAAACGTGCTCGCCCACGTATTTTTTCACTTTTTGCTTTTTGTTTTCGCTTTAGTTCGGGGTCTAAACAATTTTATTATTTGTTGAATTTTTTTTGGTGGTTTTTGTATTATGTGAAGTACACATCTGTAAATTGACAGGGCATTTAACTATGCCAAAACCAAATGAAAAATCGCCAAAGATGGCGGTGTTGAAAACATGCCCGCGCACTCATTAAATTATATATATATATATACAGGGTAACCGGCGTTCGGGACGGTCCGAACGCCCGAACCCGAACGCCCGAACGTATGGGACCCCTTGGTGATACGTACGGTGGTTCGAGCCGAACGCATCCCAAAAAAAAAAAAAAAAAAAAAAGATAAAGTTCATCAAGAAAATCTGAAAACAATATATGTTATGGAGAAAAATAAATTAAACAAGATTTGCCTGAGCATTCAATCCGAATTCCTTACCAAATTTGAAATAAAAATAAGATACAGAAAACAAATACTAATAATATAAATTAAAAGAGAATTAAATTTAGTGAGTGCGCGAGCATGTTTTCGACACCGCCATCTTTGACGATTTTTCATTTTTCTTTTGAATAGCGAAATGCCTTGAAAATTTACAGATGTGTACTTCACATAACACAAAACCCACTAAAAAAGTTTCAAAAAATAATAAACTTGTTTAGTCCCCGAACTAAAGTGAAAACACAAAGTAAAAAGTGAAAAAATACTTGGACGAGCACGTTTTGACACCGCCATCTTTGGCGATTTTTAATTCTTATTGGGCGTAGCCAAATGATATGAAAATGTACACGCATGTACCTCACATCATAGACAACTCACAAAAACAAATTCAGAAAAACATTATTATTTTTAGGCCCCAAAATATTTTTTGGCGGGGGCCGAATGCCGTCGGGTTCGGACCCCGTACGGGACCCCGAACGCCCGTACGTACGGAGGTATGCCTGGGGACCTCCGTACGTACGGGATGGTGACCCTGTATCTATATATATATATATATAGTTATATATATTCCAGAAAAATTTATTCCCACGGTCCCTCAGACCCCGTTTAAACCTCTTTGAGCACGAGATTGAGTTGAGCTAAAAATTTTGAACTTCATTCCCGCCCTTAATCAGCACGTTGTAACACAACCCCGCCCTCAATGTTTCTGAAGTGTGGGCAGTTTAGGTTGTCGATCTCTTGGTCAAGATCACCCGTCTACGGGACCTGGTTTTTTTTTTTCTTTTCGTTTTACGCAACCCTCCTCCAACCAAGACACCCCCTTGTAGCATCATAAATCACGGTTACCACCGCCAATGAAAATGTGGGGGGGTCGACCAGGGGGAAACCGAGTCGGAAGGTGGGCCGGTCCCACCGGACCGATTTCGGTGGAGGGAGGGGCCCCGGTCGGACCGGAAGTACAGTCGTGATAAAATCCCAAAATACCGAAGTATGATTTGGATAACGAAATGCGGATAAAACTTCAAAATACGACTATTTCAAATTTTCAATTACGACTTTGGCATAAGAATCCCGAATGCACGTGTTAATACAACTTCAAGTATAACTAAGTAACACCCCGAAATCCCGAAGTTCGATTTCGGTAAGGAAATCCCGAACGAACATGCGAACATAACTTTGAAAAACGTGTAAGTAAAATTATGGAATCTCAAAGTGCGATTTCAATAGCGAAATCTTGAATGCACGTACGGATATAACTTCAAAAAATGCCTAAGTAAAATCATGGAATCCTGAAGTGCAATTTCGGTAGCGAAATCTCGAATGCATGTGAGGATATAACTTTGAAAAACAGTTACGTAAAATCCCTAAATCTCAAATTGCGATTTCGGTAGCGAAATCTTGAATACACGTACGGATATAATTTTGAAAAACAGTTGAATGAAATCCTGAAATCTCGAAGTGTGATTTCGGTCAAAATCCCGAACGCATGTGCGGTTATAACTTCAAAAAACGGCTAAGTAAAATCCCGAAAATCCTTAAGAGCGAAATTTTGAAATCTCGAAGTGTGATTCCGGTAATCAAATCCCGAACGCACGTGTGGATATAATTTTGAAAAATACCTACGAAATATCTCGTAGTAATGAAGCGAGATTTCTGTAGCATAATCTTAAACGCACATGAGGATATAACTTTGAAAAACACCTAAGCAAAATTCAAAAATCCCGAAGAACAAAATCCCGAAATCCCGAAGTACGATTTCAGTAGCAAAATCCCGAACGCAGCTGCAGTGATAACTTCAAAAAATGGTGAATTTAGATCTCGAAGTCCTGAAGTGCGTTTTTGGATGACAAAATCGTGAATGCACTTGTGGATATAACTTCGAAAAACGACAGTAAAATCTCAAAATCCCAAAGTCAGATTTCGGTGGCCAAATTTTGAACGTGAGTGCGGATATAACTTTGAAAAATGGTTAAGTAAAATTTCGAATTGTGATTTCGATGATGAAATCCTGAACGAATATGCGGATATAACTTTGAAAAATGGTTTAAGTAAAAGAACGAAATTTCGAAGTGCGACTTCAGTAGCGAAATCCCGAACGCACGTGCGAATATAACTTTGAAAAATAGCTAAGTAAAATCATGAAATCCCAAACAGTGAAATCATGAAATCGCGAAGTGTGATTCCGGTAGCAAAATCCCAAACACACATGCAGACAAGAACTTTGAAAAACACCTAAGAAAAATCCCGAATTCCCGAAGTGTGACTTCGACAAATGGATAAGTAAAATCTCGAATTGTGATTTTTGTGATGAAATCATGAACGAACATGCGGCTATAACTTTAAAAAATGACTAAGTGAAATCCTGAAATCCCGAAGTGTGATTCCAGTAGGGAAATCCCAAATGCAGATGCGGATATAACTTCGAAAATTAACTAAGTAAAAACCTGAAATCCCGAAGAGCAAAATCCCAAAATTGCGAAGTGCGATTCTTGTAACAAAATCCT